CCCATAGGGAAATAAAACAAGATTATCTCAATCACAGTAAAATATACAAGGAAAATATAAAAAGGCAGAAGCTGAAATCTTGGAGAGAATTCTGCACCGAAAGTTAATCTAAGCCTTGGGGCTTCATCTACAAGGCCTGCGCGAGGAAGTTAAAACCCCGACTTTCCTAACATCAATACAAGATGGCGAGACGTATACCGACGGTATAGATGATACCATAAATAAATTAATGGATACATTTTTCCCTCAGGATGATTTTGACACAGATACGCAAAAACATAGAATCATAAGAGAAAGAAGTAAAGACCGGTATAGAAGCAAGTCGGATTCATTGTTCACACGGGAGGAAGTGGGGAATGCCATTTATAGGCTGAAACCAGGAAAGGCACCTGGTCCAGATAATATTGTAGCAGAAATAGTCTATAATGTATGGGAAACAAACACAGAATATGTGGTGCTGATATATAATCAATGCCTCCAGTTTAACCTCTTTCCAACCATCTGGAAGGAGGCAAACCTTGTAATTATCCCTAAAGGGAACAATATTGATACATCTATTGCGAAAAGTTATAGGCCGATAAGCTTATTACCGGTTCTTGGGAAAGTCCTTGACTTCTTGATAAGCCAAAGGATTCTATGTTGAAATATTCATTTTTAACAATAACTAATATTTCTTTCTTAAATAGTGGCGTATAAACTAAAGAAAAAAAAACATATTTTACAAATAAAAATAAGAAAATATAGTTTATTAAAAATATTTTATTGAAATGCCTTATAAGAACTTATTTCAGTAATAATTATGTGTATAGTGTTTCAACATTGTTTATAATTTATTCATAAGACAAAATTTTCTTTATTTATTATATTGATAGAAGTGTTAAAGAGAATGAAAACAATCGTGAGTAATAAAATTTAAATTATTTCAACAATTCGATATTTAAGTCAACTAATGCTAATAAATGCATTTTTTCGTGAAGTGAAACTTGATATGTTTGAATTAAACGGATCTATTATAAAAATAAAATGTATTTTTCTTTATTTCAAAATTTACATTACGAAATTTGTTTTATAAAGCTTAATACATATATATATACGACTATGCGTGTCCCTGTCTTTAAGCCGTGGACAAGACTAAATGAGGAACATGAATAGCCCTTACAGTTTGTCTGAAGTTAAAATTGTAAGCTCTTCGAACACCTTCAAAAAGAAGAGATATGTAACTATAAGTATAATATTTTCAACATTAATTATATTAACCCACACAATACCGATGATTGCTGCGACTGAAGAAACATATCAAACTGGTAAGTTATCAATTAGATTCATATTTAATGACAGAAAAGGGATGAAAATAATTCATTTTCTTCAAGTGAAACTTTTAATCATTGTATTGTATTTTTTGGTTGATATATTAAATAATTCTAATAATAATAATAATGAAGAAGAATTTTCTTTCATAATTCAGAACCTTAAAGTCGCCATCCGATATTTTCTGTCACTCTTGGTTACAATGAAAATTTTATTTCAAGCAAACGATAACAGCCTGTTACCTTATTTTCTATTGCATGTCAAATTTACCTGATATATAATTTTCATTAACTGACCAGCATTATAATTATCTCATGTCTACGCATGGCACTTAATATTTGGTTTTCCTCCATAAAAGTTCAAATGTTTTGTGTTTTTCTTTGTTCTGAAGATTGTGATTGAAGAATACACTAAACTATTTTAATTAAATATTTCTTGCTTCTTATTGTAAATGTTGTTAATATTTCAGGCAATTTTCATATAATTTTAAATATACATTTCCTTAATTCTTAGAGGTAAAAGAGTTTGTTTAACGTTCTAGCAGTGTGTTGTTTATGTATAAACAACATTCTTTTCAAATATGAACGTAAGACAGAAGAAACATTTTAATGAAATAGCTTACTTCATTGCGAAACTGTAAATAATCCGTATTGTGATTGATCGTTTTTTTTAAATAAATTAAACAATCCTAGAACAAATTATTTTCTTAATTCCTGTAGATGAATTACTTACTCTAAACAATCCTATTCAATAATTTTATCATAAATCATTTAATAAAATCATGTTTCATTTATACTGTTATAAAGATAACAATTAATTTTAAGCTCTCATGTTATCTTTGAGATTAGAGAATTTTTTTTAATCTCTTTTAGATTTTCTAAATAGAAAAAGCGAAACTGTGGATCCTTGTGTAAACTTTTACGAATTTTCATGCGGAAAATTCGCCTCTTTCAAAACGAATTTAACACATACATCACACTTAGAGGATAATTTTCAAGATTTCTGTGATGAACTAATCGGTAAGTAAATGCTGTTTCTATTAATAAATAAATATGAAATTACATTAAAGATTATTTATTGCAGGAATCATAAATGAGACAAGGAAATATGAAAATTTAACAGATCTACTAAAAAATTTCTTCATTTTTTACGACAGTATTCAAAATTACGGTAATTAATTTATCCTAGTAAATCTGATATTTATATTAGAAATTAGTTAACTGCGTGTAAATGTTAGCAAACTTTGTTTATTTGTTGTTTCCGTATCGCAACGAGATACGTGGGCGATGTGTCGAGAAGAAATGACTGCGGGGAGACTTTCTATGGAAAATGGGCCCCTATTTAGGTGTTCAACTCGTAAAGAAAATCCAAAAAAACATCACATCTCTATCCCTTTAGTGAGGTGCGATGGTTTTCATCCAGTTAGCCACTAGAATAGAACTTTTTTGTATTAATTTAATAGGTGTTAAGCCTATTATATATATATTGTATATACAATACAATATATATATAATAGGCTTAACACCTATTAAATATATATTGTGTATACAATATATTAGTGGTAATTTAAGTTTTCTTAGACAATGTGCTATTTATCATAGTCTTTTCAAGTATTTTTGAAAGTATTTTTAATTCCGTATTATGCATTTTATATTATCAAGTAAATCTACATCTACTAAAAGACTATCAGGCAAACACAAAAGAATGTATAATTGCTTCATGTTTAATATTATCTATTTTAATTTCATGATTTATCTGAAAGTAATTAGCAAAAGTAGACAAATAAGCATTTAAAACCACATTATTAGAAACTTATTGTGAAAGAAAAACAATATGCATAAAAAATGTATACAGTAGGCTATAAAGGAGTTAAGAGAAGACAGATGTTACGTGTTTTTTCACCTGTAGTCTGGAAGATTTCTAGTTCGTTTTCGAGATTGTAGTACTTCTTTTGCTCTCTAGTATTCTTGATTTGTCTACCTCGGCTGCTTTAATAGAAACATCAAGCTTATAGCCAGATAATTCGGCAGTTCGTTTGTCATTAATAATCAGATTTATGAAGAGAAACTTCATACTTGCAGATTTCATACTCATTTGTATCCTTGCCCAATTTGCACAACATGGCGTTACGCAGTTATTGAAGCTCCTGGGCATGGTTTAAAATTAAGACAGCATAAGCACAATTATTCTAGATATTACAGGTTCTGACAAGTAAAGAATTTTCAGAGTCCTTCCACAAATAAGTTACGTATTGATTATTGATGATTTGTGACGTGCCATAACGAGCTAAAATTTTTAAAAACTAAGAAGTAGGTTTAAAATTAATAAATACAAATATATTCTGACAGTTTATGAATTACAGTAATTATACAGTAGACTCCCCTATAACACGGTAGATACGTTCCGTGTTATGTGAATTCCGTGTCATACGAGTCACTTAAATACACGAACCAATCACAGCCCGACACGTGTGCAGTTTACGGACTACGGCTATTTGAAAGGTTTTCTTCCATAAAATTAATCGATTCTAGACTAATTTGACTCAACATTGCCAAAACAGGTTTAATTTTTTGGGAATAATTCATATAAACTATGCTATAAAAAAAGANGTTTAATTTGCTATATTTTTGAGTCATTTACTGAGAAACAATTGGAAAATTGATATTTACTTTATGAAAACATATTTGTTTTCGTATTTATTTTTTTATTAAATTTACATTACCTATATAAATGTTATAATGATTGTGGGTTATTAATTAAACTACCAGATGATTGCATATGTAATTTATTTTCGCGTGGTCTTGTGCAGCAAAAGTGAATAAAGTATTGAAAATTTTTAGTATGCATAGCTATAGTTTTTATAACTTTTAATTCATTATAATATATTTCAATGAGGGACGTCTTTCACAATTGAATACCAGAAAACAGTTTTTGCTAAGGGACGAATAATTTCTTACAATAGAGAATGTATCAAATATCACTCTGTCTTCTAGGGAGTGCGCGAGAAAAACACCAATTTCGGAAGGTCAACGATACCTCTGATCTCTCGACATTGGTGCTCAAGTAAAAATGTGTAATTCAACCAAATGCAAGAAAATTGAAAAATTATATATCTCAAAATGTCATGATTGTTTGTTATGCTTGAAAAAGCAGTAACTGTTAGAATTGTATATTTTTTATAACAAAATTTTTGATAGTTTTGTACACATAATTCTAATATTAAATGTAAGGAAACTAAGACCGTATATTAATGGTATTCATTTATTTAATCTTAGTCATATACTGTATTAAGAAATATTAATTTTAGTATCATTCTGCCGGTCTTCATTTTTCAGCCAAAGAAATAACTTAACTTGTATATCATTTGTAATTTAAGCAAAGTACTACGACTAATGCCTTTTTATGAAAAACATTAAATTAAATTACTGAATTTACTTAATAAATTTCTTTAATATTTAACATGATGTAAATATTTGAATTTTCATATATTTTTAGATTAAAGAAATCATAATAACAACAGACTTTCCCGAATTTGTTAAAAACGATGACTCGTTTATGGAATATTATAAAAATGTGCGTATTATAATGAATTTTAATCACGGAATTATAAATTGTTAAATTGATGAGATGTATGAAATACGAGAGAAACTGTATTATTTTTATTAACGTTGAAATTTTATATTATTTATTAGTTTCCAAATATGACTTCGAATTTTGAAGAAAATTATATCAATGTGATCATATTTAAAAACGTAAAATTACTTGAAAACTTTGGGAAAAACAATAATAGAGGAGAGTAAGAAATGTTATACTTTTTAATCGATTGAATAATATTTGAAACTGTTGTTTGAAAGTTTATTTTTTTAATTTTATATCCGCAGATTCATAGATAATGGTGTTTCAACAATGATTTTATCTCCATACTATTATTCAAGATTTAATAAAGTTTGTAAGATTTCAAACTCATTTTTAAATCGATTAAATCCTTGCAATTTCTATAGCTTTTATGTATATACATGTAAGAATTTAATTATATTTCAGTTATGACTCAATTTTCTCAAAGTAAATCCATATTGAATATTAATTTCCCTATGTAAGTGACCTAAATAAATTTGTTATATATCTTTAACTATATATACTTTAATTATAGTAAACTTTTTATAATTATAATTAAACTTTTTCAGATAAAGATAAGTTTATAAATTGATGAAAGAAGGCAGAATTGTCTATTTCTATCGTGATATAAAATCAGATACTCTTTTCGTTTACTAATGGTTAGTCTACATCAGGGGTCACCAAAGTGGTTAAGAAGGAAGAGTAAATAATATTGCTACAAATCGAGTAGCCTATACCGTCCATCGAAACGTAATAGATGAGCAATAACAAATTTTAAATGACAGGTTCTTTATATCGTTACTTCCGATTGAATAATGAACGTTATGTGGTCACTATGGAATTTAAAAAAAAAAAAAATTATTGTTAAAGTAACATGATGTGGCTATTATTTTTAAATATAACTCTTAAATTTAAAATTTTAAATCACACCATTTGCTAAGATATTTTAAAATGCAACTTAAGGTAAATGTCATTACTAAGCCAACCTGTTTCTATAGCTAAGAGCTAATATTTTCGCAAATTAAGTATCCTACATAACTTATATTTAATGTGGGAATATAAAAAGCATATAATGAAAATTTCATCTGAAATGAACAAAAATAACAGCAGTTATAGGGATCGATATAAGAATGTTATTATATTTATAATATTATTAATTATTACAAAATGTATCTCTTGTTTCCACTTCTCACTCTTACAATTTGTGAAGCTATTTTTACAATGGAAATGACATCTTTTAAAATAAATTCTCAAATAATTTCACCGTTCTTTTATAACTTCAAATGCTTAGTTTTATTTCTGGAATTACGAAGCTAAAACCTGTAATGGAAGATAAATAATTTTTATTTTATTTATTGTTAGGTATGCGAATTTTGCTCGGTATGGTACTCTTTTAGCACATCAAATTACTCATTCTCTGGATACAGAAAGTAAGTTTTAATTTATCCACATTTTTTTTTGTCTTTAATTTTTCAATATCTATAATCTAAAATGGTAAATTCACATATTTTATGAAATTATTGTACATATTTTTCCATAAAGATTTGTTTTGATAAAGATCTATTTTTAAAATTATTTAATAGACTACTTTAATAGATAAATATNTTTCTTTATTTCAAAATTTACATTACGAAATTTGTTTTATAATGCTTAACACATATATATAGGACTACGCGTATGCCTGTCTAAAAGCTGTGGACACGATTAAATAAAGAATATGAATAGCCCTTATAGTTTGTCTGAAGTTAAAATTGTAAACTCTTCAAACGCTTTCAAAAAGAAGAGATATGTAACTATAAGTATAGTATTTTTAGCATTAATTATATTAACCCAGACAATACCGATCGTTGCTGCTACTGAGGAAACAAATCAAACTGGTAAGTCATCAGTAAGATTCATATTTAATGACGGTAAAAGAATGAAATAAGACTTTCTAACAAATGGAACGTTTAACTCATGAATTGTTTTTTCTGGTTGTATTGCTTTAATAATAATAATAATAAATATTAATACAGTAGTAGTTATTTGAACATCTTTGTACATTTGTGATATGAGATTTTTAAAATTATTTTTAAGGGTAATAAGTGAGATAACAAATATATTTGTTATAAGATTTATTAAATACAGTAGAGCGTCGGTTATCCGAAACGTCGGTTATCCGAAAGCATGCACCTCGGCAAATTTAAATTTTCGCTAGTGCTGTGGCGCTGCAATCTTTGTCTACATCTTAGGCTACTCCAATATTTTTTTTGTTGGTGTGTGTTTTTTGGCTGGCAGCTCTGGCACTTTTGTGTGGTGTTTTTCTGAGGACTGTGTCGTGCTGAATCGAACGTTTTTGATACTAGATCATCTTCTAAAGTATATATTTTTTTGGTTTTTATATTTTTCAATATATTTATTTTGTTTGTAAGAAATAAAAAAATTATTTTTAACGATACAATAGCCACGATTATTATTTTAAAAAGTATACATTAGGCTTAACATTGACGAAAATTTAACGCGAAGCGACAAGCAACTGAGAAAAATTTCAACACGGGATAGGTTAATATATTTTTTCGTACATAATCGGTTATCCTAAAAATAAGTTATCCGAACAATCTTAGTCCCCAATTGATTCGGATAAACGACACTCTACTGTATATAAGAATTGAAGAGCTGAATGGAGTTGCAGTTGTAAATGTTTTATCTACATGTACATTGCTTGTACATTTGTATATTTTCAGTCTTTTACACGAACATGTTTATTTACTTAGAANTTTATGTACATATTTTTCCATAAAGATTTGTTTTGATAAAGATCTATTTTTAAAATTATTTAATAGACTACTTTAATAGATAATAATCTATAATAAGAATAAATTCTCTATGAGAACTTTTATCGCGAGATGATTTTACTGTTAATTGGAACATGTTGCCTACACTCACTCTAAGTGACTAATGCAACTCTAATTTAGAAGAAAGAGGAATAGCAAAGTTTACTTTGAGGATGCTGTGATACCAGAGGAGCTCACCTCCTGACCGTATTATTGCATAAATGCATAGAAATATTCTAACTTTCAACATTAAGTTTTGATTATATTTGATTAAACAATTTAATAAAACTACTTATTTTATTTCCATAAATTAGATATTCGTTTAGACAAACTTGGAAATTTAAATATTAATATCATATGGTCAAAAGAATCACTAATAGGGTACAATAAAAGAGTACAATGCTTGGTTGATCAGTATGGATCCTATGAAATTGAAGGAGATAATGTAAGTTGTTTAATTCGCATGACTTTATAAAATATCATTATATTAACAGAAAAATATTTTATATTAATTCTTTAATACTCGTATTTATTCGTTATTTAACAAAAATTAATATTTACTGAGTTATATAATTTCATTGCAGGTGAACGGTATTAAAACAATAAATGAAAACATAGCAGAGAATAGCGGCTTGAGACACGCATATTTTGTAAGTAATTTCGACAATTTAAAAGTATTCTGAAGTAATCATTAATTACTTCAGAACCCTTTATATGCCTATAATTAAAAACCATGTTTTTAATCATAGGCATATAAAGCGTATTTAAAGAAATATGAAAATGAAGGAAAGGATATTATTGAAGACTTCGAAATGTATACTCCGGATCAAATGTTCTTCATATCATACGCAACTGTAAGAATTATATATAAAAGTATTCTGAAGTAATCATAATTATTTATTACTTCAGAAACCTTTATATGCCTATAAACCATGTTTTTAATCATAGGCATATAAAGCGTATTTAAAGAAATATAAAAATGAAGGAAAGGATATTANCGCATCGAACGGCGGGCGCGTGTTTTCTGATAAGTTATTTTTCTGCGAAAAATTCGCTGAACTTTGGAGACATCATTAATAAAAATATAATTTTTATGACCGTTGAATAATAAATGATATTATTAGTAGGTCCATTGCTCGTTTAAACTCAACGATTTGTGCAATATCCGCTATTGGTCTAAATTCGACAAATCCTGTAGCGACACGAGTCGGCGATGACGTTTTTACCATATTATACAAGTCTCTTTTAGCGTGTTTATACGAACATGATCGCTAGTTTTTCGCCGTGTTATACAAATCCGTATTATATGAACCCGTATTATCTACTGTACTTTCTTTTTGCAAAACTTCTCAATACAAAATAAGAAAATTGAACTTTAATTAAGAAATTTGGGTGATTTCCCGAGTTAAAAAAACCGGGATCCCGGGATCACGTTTGAAAAACCCTATTAGCTACCTTATTGAATGAGACAGTATATCTGTTATTTGTTTCATTAATGGATCATAATTTGCAAGTAATTCAATCTGAGATAAAAAAATTTCCATTGTAGTTATCCGAAAATTCTTCACGATGACCACGAAAAACTAATGAATTTTTTTAAAGCATTAAAATTATACAGAATAAGTGTTCTAGTACCATTTTCCAGAAAGACGCTCTATATCGAGTTTCATCTTATGTTACTTTATCAATAGTTTCAATGGTTTTCCATAATTCTAGAATTGCACATGCACCAATATGTTCTTGGGCGGCACTATGTGTTTTTTATTCTGGAGGATAAACTTCTCTAATCTCATACACTAGTATGCCACTGAGTCGAAACGTTTGAAAAGAGTCAACATGGATGACAATATGCCGCATTCAAACTAGTTGAATAACATCCATACGCGAGGAACCGGACTATATTTTGTGGTGGAAGAATAATATGATTAACTAAAACTTCTATTGTTTAGATTCGGATCCTTGAAAAATGATCTCTTAGGTTTATGATAATTCATTATCAATAATCTCTTTTTCTTGTCAGAAATACTTTTATTCAAATAGGTGCTGTCATAGACAAAATTGCGTCATTGTTTTCAGTCGCATTGTCTTTATCGTTTTCTGAACGTTTATTTTGTGGTACTTTTGTATGAGATTTATGCTTATCAACTAATTCCGAAAATGATTACTTTCTTTGTTTTCATCTTGTTTTCTTGTTAAAAAATTAGCGAAACTATCAATCTTAAGAATTTTTTGTAATAATTCGTTCTTTTCTTTCTTTATTTTCCTTTTCTGAGTTCCACTTATGCTTCTCTTTTCATCTATTTAAAAAAATTAACTCAATTTCAAATGTTAACGTTTGAAACAAGTCTGATTTTATTAACAAACTTTTGTAATTGAAGCCGATCAAAATAGGCTTTGAAACCGAACACAAGCGGCCCTCCATTAGTTTCCTCCCTTCATGAATGTAGCAACATTCCCGCTTATGCTTATTTGCTGAACTTTGTTTTCACACGTTAGAGTGAAAACCGAATACAGATATCTCTTCACTCAGTGACCAGGCAAATAATATCATATTTCCATGAGTTAATTACAAATTTGTTTTTGCCAGTATTTTTATGCATTATTAGCTATCTAGACTGTGTTGCTGATATTACAGTTTGTACTTTGTACTTTTTCTCAGTTTACTTGTCCAAAGCCAGGGCCCAAAACTCGTGGGCCCATCTGCATTACAGAACCTTGCTACGTAGTCGCTACGGTGACAATAAAACCAGAATACCCATTAATCGTAGACAATTCGTTTACTCCACTAAATGTTACAAAAGTAATTGCAATAAACGGATACTATTTTATTATATTAATTAAATCTAAATATATAAAATTACTTGTTCTGACTGACTGACTGACTGATTTATCATCACCCAGAGCAATCCGCTGAATCTAAAGTGGTGAAATTTGGTACACAGTTAGGGTACGTCATGAAAACGCACACTAAGAAGGGATTTTTCGAAATTCCCCCGCGGGGGGAAGAGAGAGCATTAAGTCTTAACCTGGAGAACGGCTTCTACTGCACTATTTTAGATACAAATTTTTGTTTTCAACTACGTTTAATCTTCATTGAGTACTATGGTTGTTGAAATACTGAATATAAATGGGGTTATTATTTTGTGAACTTTTTTAAAGGATTGCTGATGGTGAAAAACGGCGAAAAGGAAGGACAGACACAAAGTTTTTAACTTTGTTTAAAAGTCGTATTTATATTTTTATGTATTAAAAATAAATGGGGTTTGCTTGCGGGTAACAACTGGTACATAATAAATTGATTTTTTTTATCTAGAATATAATGAGTGGACCAAGAATGAGTGGATCATGAATTATTTTAAGGAAAACTTGGGAGGATGTCCACACTTGGATGAAAATTGGGACGAATCTACTTATAATTTAGAAGAAAATTTCGCAAAATTTATTAAATTATCTATTTTCCCTTTTATTTCGGTTCAACCAAACGTTAGAAACACAGGAAGAAATATAATTACTGTAAGTTTGTATTATAACTTTATCAACTACAAGTAGTGTAATTTCAATAAATATATCACATTTAACCATATGTAGATTTCGGCTCCAGGTAATGAAAATCAAATTAAAACAAATTATTTCGATTCTAATGAATGGATAAACCCTAGATCTTCGAATACATATGTAAGTATTTAAATTATTTAGCTAAAATCATTATTGTTTTACTATTTATTATATATTAATAAACAAATTTATCTACTCGAGGAAAATTACGTAAACAACGAAGAACCTGATTTTATGACTGTAGAGGAATTACAGAAATTTATTCCAGAAGTATTTACTTTCTTTTTGTAGTTTTTTAAAGGAGTTTTGGCAAAATGATAATTAAATTACTTGAGTGAATTTTTAGATTAATTGGAAGAAGTTATTCGATTACATTTTTGAAGATGTCGACTTACCTGAAGAATCAGATATAACATCTCAGACAGAAATTATGATATGGGGAAAAAATAAATTATTACAGTTTTTCAAGGTGGATGAGAAGGAAAGTTTTAAACGGTAAACCAGATATTATAAAAATTAATTTTAAAATTTTGAATTTTCAATCAGACAAGTATAATTTTAGAGGTAACTAGAAAACATTTCACAGTGTTTTAGCCAATTATTTCTGCAAATCTTTTTCTGTGTCGATCGTTGCTGACATAAAAAGCACATTGTCTTCGGATATTCTTGACATAATAGGAAAATACACTTATTTCCTGGATTATATATATTATCAACATGTGAAATATGATGTGAGTATACTTTTATGAATTATTTTTTTGATTTGAACAAAACATTTATAAATAAAAATGTATTAATTTTCTGTATTTAATTTATATATAAAATATTTTCTTTCTCTTAATATGTATTAACTAAATGCTTCTCTTTTTGCGTTCGATTCTCGTGAGCGAAAATTTCTCGTTTAACTTTGGGTGTGTAGAGCTGTAGGTACTGGGGGTAGGAATAAAATTTGTTTAGCGGAGTCTTTGTATTTGGTCCGGTTTTCTTATTCTTCCATATTTGGTGATTCGTAAGTGAGTTAATTTATATGGAGTCTCTTTATTTTCTTATATGACCAAGGAGTGGATCCTCTTGGCATTTTTCTTATCTAATTTTAGTGCAACTTCTAATCAGTACGGTACTACTTCTAGCGCTGTCTATTTCATTTAATTATTTCCATGTTTGGAAAATGTCGCCGACAAACTTTCCAAACTTCGATTGCATCCTTCAAAATTATTATAAAACAAGCGAAACAATGCAAACTCCTTTCCCAGATATAACCATTCCAGATTTTATCCTATGGGATCAACTGTGTATGATGCCCACCCGATAGTGTCGGGCGAAATTGACGAATTGAAAACATGCATACGAGAAGTCTGTAAAATGGTGACACCTGGGAGCTACTAAACCCTCTACGCTCTATTGTCCACGTTTTGGTATTAGTGCTGATGGTAGACGTTTCGAACATATTCTCTAACAAAATAAACTTCATTTTATCGATTTCTGCGATGTTGTCTTTAGCCTTTACAGTAAGAGATTATTTGAATGTTATATTTTATGATAAATTATCTTAAATTAATTCTCTTTCGTTATCTCCGAACTGGAATAAACATGCAATAAATGAATACATTCCTGGAATGTTCAAAAGATCTCTCTTGCCTCTGGATAGATGTTTACATAGAAGTGATTAATTTTAGCATATTTTACAGAGAAATACTATCTCTAATTTAGAAGTATGTTATTCATTATAAATGATTCCACGTTGAATTAAATTAGAAAATGTTAATTTAAAAACCTTACTTACTTAATATACCCACGCAAAATGTTAAATTACTTGCATTTTTACAACTATTAATTAATTTAATTTAATTTAACAAAGTATGATTTATACGTAATCATAAATAATCTAGTTTAAATTTCTAATTTCTAAGAAAAAACCAGATCTTCTTGAGGAAATTACTGAACATATTCATGATTTTATGTCAAATTCATTGAGTAATAAAACTTGGTTGGATGACTTGACGAAAATTCAAGTTAACGGAAAAGTAAGTTATAGAAATAGACACACTTTCCTATTTATTTATATATAATATTAAAACGTAAAATGTTAATTAAGTAGCAAATTTAAGTAATTATTTTTTCAAAATATAAGTTTATCAATAAGTTTAATTTGCTATATTTTTGAGTCATTTACTGAGAAACAATTGGAAAATTGATATTTACTTTATGAAAACATATTTGTTTTCGTATTTATTTTTTTATTAAATTTACATTACCTATATAAATGTTATAACGATTGTTGGTTATTAATTAAACTACCAGATGATTGCATATGTAATTTATTTTCGCGTGGTCTTGTGCAGCAAAAGTGAATAAAGTATTGAAAATTTTTAGTATGCATAGCTATAGTTTTTATAACTTTTAATTCATTATAATATATTTCAATGAGGGACGTCTTTCACAATTGAATACCAGAAAACAGTTTTTGCTAAGGGACGAATAATTTCTTACAATAGAGAATGTATCAAATATCACTCTGTCTTCTAGGGAGTGCGCGAGAAAAACACCAATTTCGGAAGGTCAACGATACCTCTGATCTCTCGACATTGGTGCTCAAGTAAAAATGTGTAATTCAACCAAATGCAAGAAAATTGAAAAATTATATATCTCAAAATGTCATGATTGTTTGTTATGCTTGAAAAAGCAGTAACTGTTAGAATTGTATATTTTTTATAACAAAATTTTTGATAGTTTTGTACACATAATTCTAATATTAAATGTAAGGAAACTAAGACCGTATATTAATGGTATTCATTTATTTAATCTTAGTCATATACTGTATTAAGAAATATTAATTTTAGTATCATTCTGCCGGTCTTCATTTTTCAGCCAAAGAAATAACTTGTATATCATTTGTAATTTAAGCAAAGTACTACGACTAATGCCTTTTTATGAAAAACATTAAATTAAATTACTGAATTTACTTAATAAATTTCTTTAATATTTAACATGATGTAAATATTTGAATTTTCATATATTTTTAGATTAAAGAAATCATAATAACAACAGACTTTCCCGAATTTGTTAAAAACGATGACTCGTTTATGGAATATTATAAAAATGTGCGTATTATAATGAATTTTAATCACGGAATTATAAATTGTTAAATTGATGAGATGTATGAAATACGAGAGAAACTGTATTATTTTTATTAACGTTGAAATTTTATATTATTTATTAGTTTCCAAATATGACTTCGAATTTTGAAGAAAATTATATCAATGTGATCATATTTAAAAACGTAAAATTACTTGAAAACTTTGGGAAAAACAATAATAGAGGAGAGTAAGAAATGTTATACTTTTTAATCGATTGAATAATATTTGAAACTGTTGTTTGAAAGTTTATTTTTTTAATTTTATATCCGCAGATTCATAGATAATGGTGTTTCAACAATGATTTTATCTCCATACTATTATTCAAGATTTAATAAAGTTTGTAAGATTTCAAACTCATTTTTAAATCGATTAAATCCTTGCAATTTCTATAGCTTTTATGTATATACATGTAAGAATTTAATTATATTTCAGTTATGACTCAATTTTCTCAAAGTAAATCCATATTGAATATTAATTTCCCTATGTAAGTGACCTAAATAAATTTGTTATATATCTTTAACTATATATACTTTAATTATAGTAAACTTTTTATAATTATAATTAAACTTTTTCAGATAAAGATAAGTTTATAAATTGATGAAAGAAGGCAGAATTGTCTATTTCTATCGTGATATAAAATCAGATACTCTTTTCGTTTACTAATGGTTAGTCTACATCAGGGGTCACCAAAGTGGTTAAGAAGGAAGAGTAAATAATATTGCTACAAATCGAGTAGCCTATACCGTCCATCGAAACGTAATAGATGAGCAATAACAAATTTTAAATGACAGGTTCTTTATATCGTTACTTCCGATTGAATAATGAACGTTATGTGGTCACTATGGAATTTAAAAAAAAAAAAAAATTATTGTTAAAGTAACATGATGTGGCTATTATTTTTAAATATAACTCTTAAATTTAAAATTTTAAATCACACCATTTGCTAAGATATTTTAAAATGCAACTTAAGGTAAATGTCATTACTAAGCCAACCTGTTTCTATAGCTAAGAGCTAATATTTTCGCAAATTAAGTATCCTACATAACTTATATTTAATGTGGGAATATAAAAAGCATATAATGAAAATTTCATCTGAAATGAACAAAAATAACAGCAGTTATAGGGATCGATATAAGAATGTTATTATATTTATAATATTATTAATTATTACAAAATGTATCTCTTGTTTCCACTTCTCACTCTTACAATTTGTGAAGCTATTTTTACAATGGAAATGACATCTTTTAAAATAAATTCTCAAATAATTTCACCGTTCTTTTATAACTTCAAATGCTTAGTTTTATTTCTGGAATTACGAAGCTAAAACCTGTAATGGAAGATAAATAATTTTTATTTTATTTATTGTTAGGTATGCGAATTTTGCTCGGTATGGTACTCTTTTAGCACATCAAATTACTCATTCTCTGGATACAGAAAGTAAGTTTTAATTTATCCACATTTTTTTTTGTCTTTAATTTTTCAATATCTATAATCTAAAATGGTAAATTCACATATTTTATGAAATTATTGTACATATTTTTCCATAAAGATTTGTTTTGATAAAGATCTATTTTTAAAATTATTTAATAGACTACTTTAATAGATAATAATCTATAATAAGAATAAATTCTCTATGAGAACTTTTATCGCGAGATGATTTTACTGTTAATTGGAACATGTTGCCTACACTCACTCTAAGTGACTAATGCAACTCTAATTTAGAAGAAAGAGGAATAGCAAAGTTTACTTTGAGGATGCTGTGATACCAGAGGAGCTCACCTCCTGACCGTATTATTGCATAAATGCATAGAAATATTCTAACTTTCAACATTAAGTTTTGATTATATTTGATTAAACAATTTAATAAAACTACTTATTTTATTTCCATAAATTAGATATTCGTTTAGACAAACTTGGAAATTTAAATATTAATATCATATGGTCAAAAGAATCACTAATAGGGTACAATAAAAGAGTACAATGCTTGGTTGATCAGTATGGATCCTATGAAATTGAAGGAGATAATGTAAGTTGTTTAATTCGCATGACTTTATAAAATATCATTATATTAACAGAAAAATATTTTATATTAATTCTTTAATACTCGTATTTATTCGTTATTTAACAAAAATTAATATTTACTGAGTTATATAATTTCATTGCAGGTGAACGGTATTAAAACAATAAATGAAAACATAGCAGAGAATAGCGGCTTGAGACACGCATATTTTGTAAGTAATTTCGACAATTTAAAAGTATTCTGAAGTAATCATTAATTACTTCAGAACCCTTTATATGCCTATAATTAAAAACCATGTTTTTAATCATAGGCATATAAAGCGTATTTAAAGAAATATGAAAATGAAGGAAAGGATATTATTGAAGACTTCGAAATGTATACTCCGGATCAAATGTTCTTCATATCATACGCAACTGTAAGAATTATATATAATATTTTTATACAAATAATATATAATTGTACTCAAATTATATGGAATTTTTTACAGATGTGGTGTGATTCAGAAACGGGCGGCGAATTAAAATATCGTATGAATCGTGATGAACACAGTCCACAGAAATTCAGGTATATTACAAAACAAATTAATATTAAGAAAATTAACATTTATTTGAATTTTTCTCTCTCAATTTTAGGATCATTGAAACAGTTTCTAACATGAAAGAATTTTCAGAGGCATTTAAATGCGGTAACGATAAACCTATGAATCCGGTTGACAAATGTATTTTGTGGTAACTTAAACGTCTTTATTAATACGTTGCGTTAAAATGACGAGAATAAATATCATAGAGATACTGTTGCTAAAAGAAACCCTGAATATAACTACTTATATCTATCTTAATAAGTGAACTTAAAGGATAAATATATTTTTGTTATTAAAAGGACACTAGAGAAGAAAGAAGATTGTTGTTTTTCGTGAAATGACTCGAACTTCAAATGATCTTTAAATAAGTAAATAATCGGTATAATCCAATAAAACGTTATTCATTTATCTGGATTTGAAAAATCTTAACGGAATTTCTGGTGTAAATTTCTTAATTGTTATTGTATTTATCGCAAGATGAAATGTAATTTTTAATTGTAGAATTCCGTCGGATGGCAACGTCGGATGGCAATTATGTTTAAAAATAAAATTGAAGACAAAGTTTGTGTAAAAAAGGAACCACTATTTATTCACTTTCAATGTTCCAGAATACAAACGTTTGACAATCGACTTTTCTCTGTAGGCTACTTGGCCAACAAAATTAAAATCCCCTTAAAACGCACACACACACACACACACACACAAAAGTATATATATATATATATATACAATTAAAAACACAGGTTTAAAAAATCGAAACTGGCGATGCCCCAGACATCTTTTCTTCCATTTTTAACTAGTTGGTTTTAATACCTTCTTAATAATAAAATAAATGAAAACACGCTACTACTCTTCGCTTGCCCTTCGTCATTTCGAAACGAATGGCAACCCAGAACTCACCACGGGGAGGTGGATGCGTCAGAATTCCACCGATAGTTGAAAAGAATGCAACTCCACACGTGATTTACATCACTTGTGCAGTTTCATTCGTTCTAACTCATACTTGAATAACATCTGTTTAACGTTAACGATTCTTCGTCTTCTCTTTTCGATTCCGTATTTTCTCCTCCAACAAAAAGGCGCCAACAATGGACTCATCCAACAATGCATTCTAACAATCGGTTACTTTCGACAAATACGTGAAGTGTTATGACATAACATTAATTAATTTGAATTAATTCACTTAAAAAATTCAATTTTTTCTATCTAATATATAATCGAGACAAATTGATAATAATAATTATAATAATAATAATAAGCGCAGAGCCCAAACGTTTAGGAGTTGAAAGTTGAAATTAGGTACACAGTTAGGGTACGTCACGAAAACGCACACTAAGAATGAATTTTTCGAAATTCCTCCCCACGGGGGAGAGAGACAGAATTAAGGCTTAACACTTTCATCAACAATGGAAGTGTTAAGTAACAATGGAAGTGACAAGTGACAATGGAAGTGTCAAGTAACACTGGAAGTGTTAAGTAACAATGAAAGTGTCAACAATGGAAGTGTTACGTAACAACGGAATTGTTAAGAGAAAGCGACGTGCAAGACGTAGATGCAGTTTTTTTCGTTATTGCGGGAAATCGAACATATTTTTAGACTCATCTAAAAATTTTATAATCAGTCCGGAAACAGGGGGGCCCAATTCTTGCATTCTGTGAAAACGGATAAGGTTGACTACAACGTAATAAATTTAATCTTCGCTATCGTTCCTTTTGTCCGTGCAACGCCGGGCCTACCTGCTAGTCTATATATATAATCGAGACGAGTTGATAATAATAATGATCGCAGAGCCCAAACGGTTAGGAGTTAAAAGCTGAAATTTGGTACACAGTTAGGGTACGTCTCGAAAACTCACACTAAGAAGGGATTTTTCGAAATTTCCCCCCGAGGATAGAAACAGGATTAAGCTTAACACTTCCATCAACAATAGAAGTGTTAAATAACAATAGAAGTGTTAACAATGAAAGTGTCAACAATGGAAGTGTTACGTAACAATGGAATTGTTAAGAGAAAGCGACGTTTTAAGAGAAAGTGCAATTTTTTTTCGTTTTTGCAGAAAATCGAAGATATTTTTAGACCCATCTAAAAATTCTCTAATTAGTTTGGAAACGGGGGATCCAATTCTTGCATTCTGTGAAAACGGGTAAGGTTGACTATAACGCAATAGTCTTAATCTTCGTTATCGTTACTTTTGCCCGAGCAACACTGGGCCTACCTGCTAGTTTTCTAATAAATAGAATTATAAAAATAAAATTTACAGATTTCAAGTAAATTCATTGATTTTAATATCTAATATTCATAATTTTAGAATAAATTTATTCATAATAAATTTATTCTAAAATTTATTCGAAAACTCACACTAAGAAGGGATTTTTGGAAATTCCCCCCGGGGGAGAGAGACAGGATTAAGGCTGGCAATTATGTTTAAAAATAAAATTGAAGACAAAGTTTGTGTAAAAAGGAACCACTATTTATTCACTTTCAATGTTCCAGAATACAAACATTAACACTTCCATCAACAATGGAAGTGTTAAGTAACAATGGAAGATAGCTAAAAGATCTGACTTTGAATCAAGTCTAAAAACATTAATAAGAAAATTTCTACTTTCATCTGTAGCAGAAACAGATTATTCTTCCGATAAAGTAGCACATTTGTTAAGGGATTTTCATTATTTCGAGCACCTAGGAATAGAACCCAGGTTGCCCGCGTTTCCAGATTTGTTATTTATAATTTTATGTTCATTTATTTATAATTCGTGGCCTGGGCTATAATTCTAATATCAAAAATATGCAGAGATAGTTCATCAACACTTCCATTATAATGAGTTTACAATGGAAGTGTTAAGAATGGAAGTTTTAACAATGAAAGTGTTGAGTAACAAAGGAAGTGTTAACAACGGAAGTGTTAAGAGAAAGCGGCGTGCAAGATTTACAACCGCAGATGCGGTATTTTGCGTTTTTCGGGAAATCGAACATATTTTTAGACCCATATAAAGTGTAACTAGGACATCGCGCGACTTTGTCGTATCGCGACAGAATTGAGGCGGAGCCGGAAAGAAAAAAGCGATTCCTGCACTTGTTAGGCACAGAAGAGATGAGCCTTGTAAAAATTCTCTAATTAGACCGTGAACAGGGGAACCCAATTTTTGCATTCTGTCAAAACGGATAAGGTTGACTATAACGTAATAATCTTAAACTTCGCTATCGTTACTTTTTGCCCGAGCAACGCCCAGCCTACCTGCTAGTTTATAAATAATTTATAATATTCATAAATATAATAATTGTAATGAAAGTATGTAAATAAATAATACCCGATTAAATTGTTTTCAATGTTTTCGTTAACCTCCTGGCGGACTCTTTCTTGCTTTTCAGGATGTTTAACCAAGCAATCTTGGCTAAGTTGGTAGGCCCGGCGTTGCTCGGGCAAAAGTAACGGTAGCAAAGATTAAGATTATTACGTTATAGTCAACCTTATCAGTTTTCACAGAATGCATCGTTTCTCCCTGTTTCTAGAGTAATTACAGAATTTTTAGATGGATCTAAAATTATGTTCGATTTCCTGCAAAACGAAAAAAAACCGCATCTGCGTCTTGCACGTCGCTTTCTCTTTGCAATTCCATTGTTACGTAACACTTCCATTGTTAACACTGCCATTGTTACTTAACACTTCCGTTGTCGAAACCTTAATCCTGTCTCTCTCCCCCCGGGGGAATTTCGAAATATCCCTTCTCAGTGTGCGTTTTCGTGACATACACTAACTGTGTACCAAATTTCAACTTTCAACTCCTAACCGTTTGGGCTNACTTTGGGTGTGTAGAGCTGTAGGTACTGGGGGTAGGAATAAAATTTGTTTAGCGGAGTCTTTGTATTTGGTCCGGTTTTCTTATTCTTCCATATTTGGTGATTCGTAAGTGAGTTAATTTATATGGAGTCTCTTTATTTTCTTATATGACCAAGGAGTGGATCCTCTTGGCATTTTTCTTATCTAATTTTAGTGCAACTTCTAATCAGTACGGTACTACTTCTAGCGCTGTCTATTTCATTTAATTATTTCCATGTTTGGAAAATGTCGCCGACAAACTTTCCAAACTTCGATTGCATCCTTCAAAATTATTATAAAACAAGCGAAACAATGCAAACTCCTTTCCCAGATATAACCATTCCAGATTTTATCCTATGGGATCAACTGTGTATGATGCCCACCCGATAGTGTCGGGCGAAATTGACGAATTGAAAACATGCATACGAGAAGTCTGTAAAATGGTGACACCTGGGAGCTACTAAACCCTCTACGCTCTATTGTCCACGTTTTGGTATTAGTGCTGATGGTAGACGTTTCGAACATATTCTCTAACAAAATAAACTTCATTTTATCGATTTCTGCGATGTTGTCTTTAGCCTTTACAGTAAGAGATTATTTGAATGTTATATTTTATGATAAATTATCTTAAATTAATTCTCTTTCGTTATCTCCGAACTGGAATAAACATGCAATAAATGAATACATTCCTGGAATGTTCAAAAGATCTCTCTTGCCTCTGGATAGATGTTTACATAGAAGTGATTAATTTTAGCATATTTTACAGAGAAATACTATCTCTAATTTAGAAGTATGTTATTCATTATAAATGATTCCACGTTGAATTAAATTAGAAAATGTTAATTTAAAAACCTTACTTACTTAATATACCCACGCAAAATGTTAAATTACTTGCATTTTTACAACTATTAATTAATTTAATTTAATTTAACAAAGTATGATTTATACGTAATCATAAATAATCTAGTTTAAATTTCTAATTTCTAAGAAAAAACCAGATCTTCTTGAGGAAATTACTGAACATATTCATGATTTTATGTCAAATTCATTGAGTAATAAAACTTGGTTGGATGACTTGACGAAAATTCAAGGTATGATTTATACGTAATCATAAATAATGTAGTTTAAATTTCTAATTTCTAAGAAAAAACCAGATCTTCTTGAGGAAATTACTGAACATATTCATGAATTTATGTCAAATTCATTGAGCAATAAAACTTGGTTGGATGACGACACGAAAACTCAAATCAACGAAAAAGTAAGTTTTAGAAGTAGACACACTTTCCTGTTTATTTANCTATTTTAAAATAAAATCTGGCCTCAGTAAGACACCACGCGACCCAACTCGTATGTTTTAGATGACCTGTGAATGGTCAACATAGACATTGGAGCATCAAAGCTATGGTTGCAAGATAAAATTTTAATTATTTCTTACATTTTCTATTAATTTCCCTACATTTCCCTACTGATTGCATAATGGCAGAGGCTTATACAAATTGCATTACAACAGGCCATTTGTATAAATGTAGATTCAAGGTGACACCTAACGCTGAAGAAGACACGAGAACGAGTCCAGATGGGTCGTAAACCCTAAAAATTTTTCGGGTGGTTGTCCATTTGAATTTATTGGATCCACAACAGGCTTGGCTAAAAAACCCTCTTAGTCCCCACAGGGTTGAAAGAGTTAATAGAAGTCACAAAAAAGTTGTATGAAATACATTCTTTCTAAAATTCACCTAAATTTTTCAAAACCTAAGCAACTGAACTTTTCTAAATCTAGTGCAAATGTGTTTTCATGTGTAGTGTCTACTCCAGACGTGAACGTGGAGACCAGACGTGAACGTGGAGACCAGACGTGGAAATCGTAAGAGAAAAAAGACCAGATTAATTACATATGAACTTTTGTAGCGATTTGTATCGCAAGTCACGTTATTTCAATTCAAAAATTTTGCCCCGAGTGGAAATAGATACCTAGCCGGCACGACTCTATTGCTAACAGGAAGTATAATGTACGGGAATAAAACACTACGACACTTCAGGCAGGCAAATGCCGTGTCACCTCTCACAGTAATGGCATAATTTCTCGCTATATCATTGTCTCAGTAATTCAGTGAATATAATACTGTATATATCTAAAAATTATATTTTATTTGTAAAAATTATATTTAGTTGATTATTTCCAACAGATGGCGCTACATGTAAAGACAGTAATGAAATAGAGAGAGAAAGTAATCGATACATAGAATTGTAATTGATAATTTGATGTATGATATTATCTAAGCTGGTCCCTTAGTCTCGAGTTTTTCGTGTTGTACTCGAACTGACGTCATCGAACTCACTCGTGGTACTTAAGGCGCTAGATTACCCAGGTATGCTCATACGCTTCCGTCACGTGTGCAGCCATATTGGTCCTTTTGACGTCATATTCCAAGATTTTTAAATTTAGCTGTATTTTATAACTAGTTGAACTAAATTTTGGCAAAGTTTATCATTTCGACCTTGCAAAATCTTAAGATACAGTTGAATTTATGATTATTTTCGTGTCTCTTCTATTCAACTTCTACGAGAGTCGTCTGCTTTCTAAGGACCAACATGGCGGATGAGCATACCTGGGTTATCTAGCGCCTTAGTT